AACTTTTTTTAAATAACCGACTACCGACAAATGCCTAGAATTTTAACTCACTAGCGACAAATGCTTGAAATTTTAACTGACTACCGACATTGAGATTCCCCCCCCCCTCCCCCCCCCATTAAGACCCTGTTCATACGCTATTTACTAATGTTTATTCATTTTTTAGCTAACTACTGCGATGCTCAAAAGCCAAACAGCATAACCACCTATTCACCAGCTCGCTGTATAAAAGAAAACGCMAACAAATACGGTGATGTGTGTACCAGAGGATGTGTTCCTGGTTATAAGCTGAGCTATGGGAAATATTACAATACTGTTACTTGCAGCGATAGGGGTAGCTGGTATGGAGGCTATTCGTACTGTATCGGTAAGCTTGCTGGTATCTTAACCGGTCCTCTTAACGAATTGCCTTATAGCTGCTTGTCTCTTAGTGGACGTAAAAAGTATTCTTGGAAGTACGTTTGGAGCTTGCAGACATTATAGCGAAAAGAATTTGTACAGTCAGCCATCTTGCTTATTTCCATGTGTGGCATAGTTTTGGCAAAGGAAYACCACAACTAAAAGGAAAACACACGAATCTAGCACGAAYGACAGCAATTCATTGATTGAAAGTTATATTTTGAAATTTTCCTTCAATACATCTAATGGCGAAACAAATTCGCTTTTATAGAAAGAGAACTACAAGAAGGTTTATCATTTTACTAGTTGATATTTCGGCATTTATCCAAAGACTGCAAACTGAGCTAAATAATTAACTAATATGCCAAAAGAATATATTCAAATTTGTATTTATGTCATGGCCTATGTGGGGTGTTTTATAGAGGTTTCGTATATTCTATAAGATATGATTTGCAAAAAAAAAAAAAAAATCCTCTATGATTTTCATGGCAGATGATGATGAGTGCTCCAAGTCTGCTTGTGATCACAACGCAGTATGTGTCAACACAGTTGGGTCTTACAGTTGTCGTTGTCGCAGAGGTTTCACTGGCGATGGACACAAGTGTATTGGTAAGTGAAGTCTTTACTTGATACTCCGTTTTACAGTTAATATACCACCATCTTGAAAGGTAGACGAGACTTTGCAYCAAAGCAAAGCAGAGATTAAATTTCCAATGATAGATCCTCGTGAATAATTGTAAAAATGTGGAATTTAGCGGTAAMCCAGTGCATTTGAGTTGCGCGTCGGTGTTTCTAAAGAAACATTTGTGTAAAAAGATAAATTAAACACCGTAAAAAAAGTAGGTGAAACAGCTTACTGACGTTTTGGACGTTAATCCTTCGTCTTTACTCCAATGAAGGATTAACGTCCGAAGCGTCAGTAAGTTGTTTCACCTACTTTTTTACGGTGTTAATTTTTTTTWAAACCCCTTTGACTAATTGCCTTAGGTATAGATAAAACTGCTGTCTCACTTTGATGCAAAGKTTCGGCTTCTTTTAAGATTGAAATGTATTGACATTTTTAAGGTGGCTCCAAGTTATCAATTGGACATCTATTATAAACTCGGGTATTTTATTCCTTTTGATTGGCCCTATTGCCGCAGCATAGAATAACGCCTGCTAAAAATGAATAAATTGAGTTGCATGCTCGTAAATTGAACATAATGAAGAGCCAATAAAGAYAACTTTCAAAGTTTCCGTGGCGTTTTGTTAATATACAAATATATTTATCGCGAAAAACTCCTTTTCAGTTTTGCTGTTGCTACATTTATTAATCGGCAATATTCTCAAAGTTTTTCTTCTTTTGCAGATAACGATGAATGCAATGCAAGCAATAAATGCCATCAGCATGCCGTCTGTATGAACACGCTAGGCTCTTACAACTGCAAGTGCAAACAAGGGTACATGGGGGATGGTGTCGTATGTGCTTTACCTAWCTCATTCCGTAAGTATTGACGATGTAATCCACTGACTCTTGAATTAAAAGTTGAGAAAACACACAACGGGGACTACATGGACGGTCCAAACATTAGATTTAGCTTTTGATTTCAAGTTGAGAAATGTCTGTTTTAACCTAATCATACGAAACACARATTTATCTCATGYCTCCTACAGGAGGGTTACAAAACTCCGCAATTCTTCGTGATAATGGCAACGCAAGTTACCTACTTGATCTCTCAACTTTTTTGGATCCTGTTCTTCAAAGTTCATCCAGAAGCCGCTGGCTCAGATGCTGGAGTTCGTCTAAAGATGGATGGCGTGTTCGCTCTACATTCCATCCTCTGTGCGATAAAAAGGGGCCAACAGTCACTTTGGGCAGAGTTCAAAACTACATCTTTGGTGGATATTCTGATGCGTCTTGGGATAGTAAGCTTAAATTTATAAAAAAAGACTTTAAATTTTTTTTTTCTGTTGTGTCTTTTTTTCTATCTTTCCTGCTGTGTTTTTTCTTCGTTTTTATTTTTCCACTGCCATTGTGTYATAATTTTGTAGACTGCTGTTTCTTCCTAATGAAGTAAACGAAGTAATTTTCTATTGTCTTTCTTCGTTCCGCCTCCTTTTGCTTTTGTTCGTCTTCGTTCATGCATCTGTCAGCACTGCACTTTTGTTCAACTCATGTATATACCTTGCTTTGTCTTTACATGGAAATTCGCTGAACGTTTCTTTATGTCTCACTCTTCCTTCTCTCCTAAAGTCCTCGTCACTTTCATCTTATTTATTATATTATAGCTCCGTCCAAATCAAGATTGCACTTTTACCCATGGAAATATACACCAAACTATTGAATCTCTCTCAATATTTTTACCGGCCTCTGTCAAAACCTCCTGATCTCTTCAATCATGTCTCGGCTTTTTTCTTCTCCGTTTTGATTAAGGCGCTTCGATCGTAATAAATAGCGCTTCGTGCGTATTTTTAAACTCCAACTACGTCGCAAATTTCGATTCAATTGCACTCAAACTGTCACAGAAGTCACAGTGATTATCGRTAATTCTTGTTGATAAATTAATTTGCCAAAAAGCGAGGCCATTTGGATAAACGATGCAAAATAAAAACACCTACATTTTTATTCAAAATTAATTTTCTCGAAACTCATCGCAGACGGATTGTAATAAAATTTTCAGAATCATTTCTTAATAACATAATTGATATACTGACGAAGTTTGAATTAAGTCTTAACCTAAATTTTGCTCAAACAACTCGAAATTAATGTTACTCTCTCTTTATACATCAAACTTTATTATTAACTCATCATCCTTGCTAGACAGCAACTCGATTCCCATTACTTTATACATTTGTGTAAATGAAAGTTAAGTTTCTGGAAACAAGGTTTGCTGGACAGCTATTGCGAATCGGGGGTAATAGGAGAAAAGAACACACACACTGAATTTTCTAGTACACTACACTACTATCATAGAAATAAAAAAAAAAGTTGTATCAATATTTTTCTTCTTCTTTTATCACGTGCTTTTCTAAATGTATTAGTTGTCTTATCATCACAGATAAAGGAGGTTATGCACAGTCCTCCAAAGCTTTCTTGTTCTCGCTGTTCAACGTTAAAGGGTATTCTCCGCGTAAGTTTCCTATTGTACGAGATCAAGACAAGGCTATATATCGACACGAGTACTATGGACCAACATTTGGAACAGGACACGATTTGCTGTTATCCTTTGGTAAAGCACTTTAATAGACTAAAGGTGGTTTTCATACAATTCTTCAATATCAAATGTTTTCAAATGAGGAGGAGAATATCGACCTGATAACACTTTATTATTTTTGAGATACTTGTTTAAATAAAGTGTCGCAGACGAAAGCGTGACTCGAAAATCCTTGTTTTCATGTGCTAATGCGCATGCCAAATATAATTTTTAAACCGACTGGGCATCTCGAAAATCGTACTCTTCTAGGATATACTCCATTTTTGAATGCGAATAACCGCAGCTTTATTTGATAGCGGATTCTCTTACGCAAAGACGATCTAGCCAAGCACAAAAGAAAGCACGAGAAAATGTTGTAAGTACAATAGCACTAACAATTTACATTTTCCTGTATTCCCAGAAGGCTTAAGCCTTAGATCTTATGCGATACAGGGCTAGCTGGTCTCAACTCGGAGAAAAATTTCAGGACCATTTTCTCGTGCTTCTTTAATTKATTGTAGGTTCATTGCGCAAGAGAATCCGTTGTCAAAACAGTGTCTGTTTGCTTTGAAAGCAAAATTGATGTTTCAATGTACTTTACTGTGTATAATTTCAATACATTATTATTAAACAAAGAGCTGCATGGGTGCCATGACAACATTGATGCTTTTTTACATTGACCTGATTTAAAATCTCATTTTCAGGCGGCTATTACAGTGTTTCAACTCCAAAGTCGTATGCAACCCCCCCTGGATGCACTATTTCCAACAAATGCTCCTTCTACACTGGCACCGTGCGAAACATGTTGAGTGACGTCGAGGTATTCTATGAGACTGATGACGAGTGCTTGAAGTGTGCTGACGATGCCTCGTGTTTAAAGACGCAAGGGTCACATGTATGTCGATGTAACCATGGTTTCACTGGTGATGGGTACTCTTGCAACGGTGTGTACCTTAATTTATGAAGATCAGACTAAGTTGAATCTATTGTCCATTCCGAAACTCAAAAGGAGACTGGGAACGAGTATGAAAATAGTCCACTTAAATTTGATCTTCCCACATGAAAGACCATGCAATAGTGCAACTAGTGTTCTTGTCAACTTTGCGTCTATTTAGGTGAATACTCATCGAAATAATTTTTTTTTTTCAAAATTAGGAAAACAAGAGAGGATGTATGTTTTTTTTGGATGCTGTTCAAGAGCTTCATATCCTCTTTGTAATTTTTTCGAGTTTCTAACGCTTGTAAATCTGTTATTACAAATCAGAATACGCCCGAACTTTGCGACTAATCGCTAGTSCCTTTTTGAATTTCGGAATTGCCAATAGGATAATACATTTTCGGAAAAAAAATTGTGGTTAAGTCGTGCAATTTTATAGTCAATCACCTTCTTTAAAGTCTTGAAACCACAAAACAAACTTCCCTAATGAAATACGTACACGCGTACTTTCTTGGGTTTTATGCTTCGTTGATGCAATCTGAAAAAGATGTCTAATTGAAGTATGTACCGACTKTCTTTTATTTTATGGTACCCATGTCTTCTCTCTTCAACGAATTGTATATAAGTGTACGTACTTTACTTCGTTTTTCTAGGGTATCTTCAGTATTATATTGAATTTATGTTGTAGTTAGATCATCATTACAATATATGCATCCTTTTTCAGATATCGATGAATGCTTGTCTGTCAAGTGTGATCCCAATGCAGTGTGCATGAACACGGCTGGCTCTTACAGCTGCAAGTGTAAAAAAGGATTCACTGGTGATGGGGCAATATGTTTTAACTTAAGTAAGGTCTTATTTTAGCCCGAATATTTCGTAAGCAGATGTCCGAATAAAATGTTTCAATGTTTTCTGGAATAGCAAATTCCCGTTCATGACGGTACATTCTCTCTGTTCGAAAAGGTATCTTTAGGGACCTCTTTAAGCTTAAATGCCAGGTCCTTTTAGAGTCAGTTTGACTTATGGTACTAAATGTGTCCATTGAGCGGCACAGCATGTTGTCCTCTATGAGACAACCCGCAATTCTCATATTGTCCTTCACGGCTCCCTGCTCCATCTTAAAATAGCCTTGTAGCCGTGTCCAAGCGAGAAAACCGTTGAGCGCTTGCAATGAACGGGTATGGAAAGTTTCTATCGTTGTACACTCAATGGATCTCTCGCTTTTATGCATGTCAACCTTTCAAGATGGCGCAGGGAACCGGTAGGTAGACTATTCTGCATTTCCCTCCTATTCAAGCTATTTTCAAGGGCCAACCATAATTTAGATCTTAACCGGTCACTTTTATTTTGAGCGTCTWGAGGCTAAGCGTTAGTTAGAGGTGCAACCGCAAAAAAAAAACTAACCTTTTTTCTGTAGGGGGTCTCGACAAGTCAGCTATTCTAACCGGAAAGTATGGAAGCCTCAAACATATCAAGAGTCTGTCRAAGTTCCTGGATCCTGTCCTTCAAAGTAAAACCAAGAGTCGCTGGGTGAGATGCTGGAGTGCTTCTAATGACGGATGGGACGTCACTAAGACATTCCACCCCCAGTGTGACAACAAAGGTCCCACAGTGACCCTAGTTATAGCGCATAAGTACATCTTTGGGGGATATGTTGATATCTCATGGCAAAGTGAGTCTTAACCAGTAACCTCTATTTATTTATTTGGATTTCAATTTTTTGTTTAGAATTATAATTATATAGGTATATTGTTGACGCAAGCAWATGTGGCGCCATTCTTTCTTTAAAATAATTTTGTCCCTRGTTAGTTGGTTGATTGCTCGGATGGATGATTCTTGACTAGTTACTTGGTTTGTTTGAGAGAATGGATGAATGTTAAATAGATTAATTCATTTCTTGACTTTTTTTATGTTGTTGTCGTCGTTGTTGCTGCTGTTGTCGTTGTTGTTGTTGTTGGTTGTTGTTGTTGTTGTTGCTTTTTCTGTTGCTGTTGTTGCTGTTGTAAATATTGTTGTTGTTCATGCTGTTTTATTGTTGTTGTCATTGTTGCTGTTGTTGTTGTTGGTTATTGTTGTTGTTTGCTGTTTCTGTTGTTGTTGCTGTTATYAATATTGTTGTTGTTGTTGYTGTTTTATTGTGGTTGTTTTTGTAATTGTTGTCGTTGCTGCTGTTGTTGGATGTTAGCTCAACGACACCTATAGCTTTAGTAGGTTTGTGTGTTGATCATGTTATTGTTGTTGTCATTGTTGCTGTTGTTGTTGTTGGTTATTGTTGTTGTTTGCTGTTTCTGTTGTTGTTGCTGTTATTAATATTGTTGTTGTTGTTGCTGTTTTATTGTGGTTGTTTTTGTAATTGTTGTCGTTGCTGCTGTTGTTGGATGTTAGCTCAACGACACCTATAGCTTTAGTAGGTTTGTGTGTTGATCATGTTTACATGTTTCTTGTTATATTAAATTCTAATTTTAAATAATTATCCCTAACAGCCTCTGGAAAGTATGCTATATCAAGCAAAGCTTTTCTCTTCTCTCTGTACTCCAAAAAAAGCGGTTATTTTCCAATCAAACTACCCATCGTCCGTGAATGGCAGCACGCGATAACCAATAACGGACTTTACGGCCCTACATTTGGTCGGAAAACAGACCTTACCATATCAAACCGTGCATCTAGTAGCAACCAAAATACCTTCTTTGTTTGGTCTTACAAGGCTCCCCCCGGATGTAGCCATGGCAACTACTGCTCATACTATACTGGGTCGTCTATGTTTGTACCTCAGGACGTGGAGGTGTTCTATGAGGTCACCAACTAAGACAAGAAATTCAGGAAGCAGCGACAAAATTGATTCTAATGTATTGTTAAACCATATTATTATACAGTCAATCCATTAACGTTGTTCGGTTGAAAAGCGGACAACAAACAACAAAGTCATTTGCATATATCATATTTTTAATAATTTCTTTGCAAGAATATTCAACATAAACTTCAAAATCTTCTTTAGAATGTCATTAATATTTACCTAAAGGTTTATTTAACAAATTCACGATTGTTTCATGTCCTCTTATTTACCACAGTTGCAGGTATTTGAATCCTCTTGATGTTTAAACATCCACGAGTGGATCGAGTGGATCTACAACAATCTAGACAATGAGATGATCCCAGCTGTTTTAATCAAGAGGACCTATTATATAGTGAGGCTGTAACACACGATTTCATTGGCTAAAAAGCGGGCCGTAATTTCCCGTACGGACCAGATGAAACGAGAAAAACTRTTTTAACATTAAAAAAGCTCGTTTTCTGTCTTTCTGTAGTTGTATACGGTTTTCTTTTCTGCTTAGATATACTAGCTCTTTTAATTTCCTTTTTTGTCCTAGTTTCTCAGCCTATGAAAATGCTCTATAATAAATATCWTATTAACCTCTCTTGCTTGAGCCGTACGGGAATTTACGGRACCTCGTTTCCCACATTTTTATGGCCTTCGCGCTACGCTATCAGGCCATAKGTCAGMGGAAAATACTCGGTCCATAGCTTCCCRTACGGCCCTCGCGCTCGGTTAATAAGATATTAATACCACAAGAAACTATCGTGAATTTTTTTTTTTTAATCACAAATAATTGTTTTACCAGTACTGCGCGCGTTTTGCAAGCTAAAAGAACAACTTAACTCTCATTTCAAACTGAACCAAAACATTTATTTCAACAAATTCTGGTACATACGTTTTTCGCTTTGTCTGTCCAGTCAGGAATTAAATTCCAATGACAGAACAGTCGAGAAAGCCCATTGTTTTTCTTTAAACTATTAAAGTTAATCGCAAGCAAAGTAGCGACCGTTGTATGTACTTTTATTTACCACGACTCTGGACCAATCAGAAAGCAAGAAAATTATCATATGTGGCAAAAAATTTCTTTTTTCCTGCGATTATTTACAACCTATTTATGAAAATGACTTTGCAGTTGTCTTTTTAAAAGTTTTATAAGTGGATAATGTTATATTGGATTGGATGTATCATTATATTGTGATCTATGTGATGAAACATTTACAAATACAGTGTTCTTTGTTCATCTGATCTTATTCTAGACTGGTAGTTGTGTCTGTTGTTATACGTTTAAAATAGTCTCCTACGCAATCTACAATCATGGACAAAATTCATAGACAAAATGTATGTCTACTCAAACTTACAGACAATTCTTCCCCCCGTGGCCCCCGCATTTACAATCTTGGACTACAAACAAACCCTCCTTTCATACCGAAACATTCCCGCCAACAAATTCCCGCCAACAACGTTGTCAACCATTGACTGTGGGGGTAGGGGAGAGGGTTTGAGTGAGGATTAAAACAGCCCATAAGAGCGGTACATCTGCTAGAGCGCAGTAATAGCGCTCTGTCCCATTTAATTTTGTCTTGGATTGTAGCTTGGAATATTCCGTGCCCTTGCATGAACTAGTTAGACGACCGCGTGGCCACATCAATAAATACTGATTAGGGTTTCTCACACTTCTAGTTCTGGGTCAAAAAAATACAAGTATAAATTACGATATCAATGAATTGAAGAAAGAAGGTCTGAATAGGACTCATTATGAAGAACAAGAAATCTGAACAAGTTCAGATCTGTAATATTCCCATTYTCGATATCGATTATATAGCCGCGAGCTGTATAGCATTTTCGCTAAGCATGCCCTAATTAATGGTCATAYAATTTGCTCGATCAAATTCATATTGCGGAATTTCGATATTACATTATAGTATATTACATCGATGAAAAGTTATTGATATGTTAATAGCTTTAATAGTGGAGTCGTACATGCGGAATACAGAATACAATTTCGATATCGATAATAAATCGTTGATATCGATAAAAGTATTTCCGAAATCGATAATAACCAGGATTAATTTTGAACGGTTTTGTACGCCATAGTTTTTTCTCTGATTAAACAGGATCCGTCTCTATATGATTTTCAAATTGAGCGCGAGGGACTTTTCTAAAAAGTGTCACGACGCTCTCTTCATTTTTTTCTCTTCGATTTTTAGGAAATTGCCCTGGAATGGTGTGGTATTCTTTATGTTGTTCTTTACAAGACCTTACGAGCTTAAACTAAAAAAATATACCAATGTAAGCCCGGGGGGGGTACTCGACCACGTTTTGGATAGGTACGTGCCGCCAGMGGTCTAAATCCCTGACCCTGTTTAAGACACTAAAAAGTAAAAATCCATACCCTGTTCAAGACAAATCGGAAAAATAAGGAATAGCTATCTACGTCGCAACCATCAAAACTGCAAATATACTGACGTCCATCAGAGACAATAAGAAGTTTTTGATAACACGTCAATAATTTTGGGACAGTGAAACGGTATTTCTACTATTTCTACGGTGTTATGAAAATATTACCCTGTCCAAGACACACAAAAAAATTATATCTGTCTCTTTTATCTAAATTGTAGAGCCTCTTTAAGACAATTTCGGGTGAAATGTATACCCTGTTTAAGACAGCAAGGCCAAAAACCATACCCTGGCCAGCGGCACGTCCCCGTATAGCAAATATATGGGAGTACACCCCCCGGGAATGTAAGCAAGCATTACTTTTAAATAAATTTCACGACTATGAGCTTAACGAGCGGGCGACGARTTCAGTTTCTTTTTACTTATTTGGAATTGAAAGTTTCACAAGATTTCAGACAAAGCCTTCATCAACGACGTATGATCAACACTAGATCATTATATCTGTTTTGACATTACAACTATCAAAAGTTTTGGAGATAATTTATACTAGACTAAGTCTAAGTCTTGAAAGAAAAATCCATTTTCAAAAAAAGTCTGATTAAGAGCTTTTACAAATGCAACTAAATGCAGTAATTTTATTTCAAGTTAAGATTCAAGTTCATTACACCCGATTTCAAATGAGTGCGAACTCTCGAATTTTTTTTCGGACGCTAAACTTTCACTCGACCGTCATTCACTCGACCACTTGGTAACCTGGCACAGCTTGAAGCGGGTTAAATTATCCAAGTATAAAAACCATGGTTAATGTATGTCTGTGGGCTAAATTCCTACGGTTTGTGATCGCACTACAAAACGAACTTATTG